AAGGGGGGGGGGGGGGGGGGGGCTCCCTGCGGGGGGCTCCGCGAATTTCCTGTGTTGGTCGTGGTAGCAAATTGCGAGCCGTTCCGTTCGAACAACGCCACGTCCTCTCCTATTCCTATTCGCGCACACACATACACCCCTCCCCCCCGGTGGCAAACCTTCCCCCCCCAGACGCAGAGCCAGCAGCCGGGGCACCATCAAGAGCAAGCAGCGGCAGCGGGGGTCCCCGAGCCGCCGCCGGTGCGGCCGGGTCTCCCTCCCCCGCGAGGGTCTTCCTCAGCGCTGCAAGCGACCTCGGTCAGCGAGTCGACGCAGGCGCCGCTCCGCCGCAAGACGTCGATGGGGTCCTTCCAGAAGGGCATGGGGGAGAGCCTAACGGGCAGGCTTCGCAAGCAGCTGGACATCCCGGACGCCCCGAAGCGGGAGATCGATACCAACATCCCCGTAAAACAAATACAGAGCTTGAAGTACCTCGCACAGGTGACGAGTTGGGTGTAGAGAAGTACTTGTGTATTGCGTGCCTTAGCGGGCTGACGATTGACCACGCGTCTTCGAGAGGACGGAGCATTTTGCCAGCAGGATCGATGACCGATGGCCAATTCCTTCCTACTTTGCCAAAGGGGGCTCGAAATTGTGGGGGGGGGAGAGTCACGTGGTATTCTGTTGGTGTGTTCGTGTTTCTCTCTGTTGTCGTTGGGAGTCGAGCGGAAGATTGATCGCTAGGTTGTTTGTAGCCTGTGCCGACCACCACCACCACCAACTATCCACCCCTTCATGTACTCTCCAAATACTTGGACAAGCTACAAGCCATCTTCCTTCCTGTTTGCAAACCATCTACAATAGGGGCTTATCCGTACCATACGCTTTTGTCCTCCCGTCCCCCCCCTCGGGTTTGGGTTTTCGTCGCTTGGCAACGACGTTGTAAAACAAGCCGCCCCCCCCGGTGTTTGCCATCGGGGTTTGGGTTTTCGTCGCTTGGCAACGACGTTGTAAAACAAGCCCCCCACTCGGTGTTTGCCATCGGGATTGGGTTTTCGTCGCTTGGCAACGACGTTGTAAAACAAGCCAATTCACTTCGTGAACTCGGCAACCAGGTTAACGTTTTTTTTTTTACGTCGGTTTTTTTTTTTGGCGGTAACCATAATGGTGGTCGAGTAGATCATGTTGTGCGGGGTGGAGAAACCTCACTCCGCGCAACGGGGGATGATCGCACCACGTTGTGTTAAAATGGTCAAGCTTCCTCGAGGCAGTTACACAGTGCTTACAACTGTCTCTGGAAGTGAAAGCACCAGAAAATAAATTAAGTCATACGTAGCTGTCATCCGTACGCAAGGAAGTAAGCACAAGATGCCGAACACCCTTAGCAGGATGGCAGCTCACCCTTCATGCGACTCGCCAAATACCTCACGGCGCTTCGCGCTTGGTGATGTGAGAGCCTGGTCCGGTGAGAACCCGGCGTGCTCCGTCCCGGCTTTGTAGGGATGCGAGGTCAATGGTCAAACGACTACGGCATGCACGACTATGAGTACACCCCCCCCCCCCCCCC